CACCTGTGAAGGGCCTTAAAGTAATATGCACACAGGTAGGGAAACTGAGATACAGCTTCTATCAAGATATTTAAGCTGTGGATTCCAAAATGTTTAGACATGGATTTGTCCTATCATCACTGAGGCTTCCTTTTATTTATTTATTTATTGTTCTCCAACATTTCCACAAGAGGATGCTATACCTGTTCAAAAGTAGCCACAGTGTTAGCTGTGTCAGAGAGCTTTTGTTTCAGTCTGGTTGGGGTCATCTTGTTCAATTCCAGATGCTGTGCCTCCATTTCCCTGTTGAAAAATGTCTTACCTCAGCCCTCTTTGCAACTCCTGAACTTCAGGTCCTGTAAGGGACATGTTAGCTTTGGGCTTGGCAGCTCTGCCTCAAAGCCCCAGACAAATTGAGCAGGGGTGAACCTGACAAGTATTTCATTCATTTTCTCAGTCTCTTCAGCACCAGACAAAGTACAATCAGGCTACTAGGTCATTCTTTTTCCTTTTTTCTCCCTTTTTTGTATGGAATGGAGGGTGAAGGGATTTTTGTTGCTAGAGAATGTTCCTTGTTCTCAAGGCAGCAGAAATAAAGATAATCATGGGTTGCCTTCAAGCAGATGTTGAGGGTCAAGGAATGAAGATGGTGGCAATCTGGAAGTGACCTCAGGATGCTGAATTTCAATCCATTGCCATTTCTGCACATCTGTTTTTTCTCTCACTTGTTCTTCCCTACTAAGGTAACTTCTCTGCCTCCTCAGATTTCTTCTTCTTCACCCCTGCCTTTACCATCACTGATTGGTAAATATTTGAGAAGGAATTGGGGACGGTGGGGGAGGCCAAAACATTTCCATATCCTGCTCAAATGTTTACCAATCAGTGTTGTTTTCAATCCTCATTGGCAGCTGGTTGGTTATTTTTGTTGATTTGTTGCCATGGTTGGTTGATTTTAAAATTGGTATCTATTCCTGGTGAGGTATGAAATGTTTCAAGGTTATTTTGAGAGAAGGACCTTTCACTCAAAATAATAAGGGGAAAGTAATAAGGTCATTTACATGATTTGAAGTCCTAGAGGAAAAGTGGGTTATATAGCTAACAAATTAAAAAAGAAAAAGAAATGAAAGTAACTATGAAAAAATAACAGTGTCATCTCTCAATAAAAATAACCATTTAAAACAACAACCCCACCCAAATTTACAGGCTAGCAATGCAGCATTGGAAAATTGTCTAAAGCAGTTACAAAACATGGTCTAATCAGCAGCGTGAAAGGCAGGCAAACTTTTAGAAATGGATGTTGCATTTCTTTACGACTAACTTTGCAGCCCCCAGGAGTCACAAGGGAAGAACAGTGATATGGAGGCATTGCTTGAGGGGAATATGGACAGCATTGTGGCCATTTGTCCCTCCTGGAAGGAAGAGAGACTTAATCAAGTTAAAATATATGAAGTCTGTCAGAAGCATTTTTCTTAGATCAGGTTTGGAAACTCTTACATTTTCCTTGGACCACAATGCCTCCACAATGCCTCCAAAGATACCACTGGATAAAGACTGCTTCTCTCCCCCGCTTCC